GGCATATTTATAACCTTTGAGATGTTTGCAACGTGACACCATGATTCAATTGCATTTTTAACGCCTGTATGTGCAGATGCCATGGCTAGGGTTTGTACGTTATTTTTAGGGGTTTTTTATGCAGGAGAAATTGAGCGTTGATAATGGTACCATGATGCTCGTGAGATTGAAACGAGTTGATTGGTACCATTAGGTTTCATTTATCATGCGCGTATAGGATTTTTGAAATGGACATGGGCTATACCTACGCTTGATGACTGTAGGTAAAGGTCACAAACCTAAGGCGATGGTGGAGAGGAAGAAGATGGATGTGTGGCACCCCCTGGTTGGGTGATTTGAATTTCGCGCGTTTTAAAATTCAGCATTTTGTTTTCATTATATAATAATTGTTTATTATTGTATATACAAATGAAGCGTGTAGCTCAGATGGTAGCGTGAGGGTGGAAATTTGCATAAGGACCTGAGTTCGATTCCCAGGTCCTAAACTTTGTTCTTAATATTTTTCCACAGGCAATCAGACGCTTTGTAGGACAAGGTGCTCACCGTACACCATCAAGATTTGGCCCTCTGATTCATCAACGCCCCAGATCCAAGGCTTCTCCCTTGAAGGTCCATCATGCGCCTCCAGTCAATGAGTGCACTGGATCCAACGAAGTCAAACAGGCTTTTGTCCACTTCAGATTGAAGAAGCAAGACCAATACACTTGTATGGGAAAATCAAGTTGCATTGCACATTGCTTCAAATCCAGTCTTCCATGAGAGGACGAAACATATTGAGATAGTCTGTCACTTTGTGAGAGAGTAGATCGAATCTGGCGACATCGTCACAAGCTTTGTCAACTCTAATGATCAATTGATAGATGTGTTTACAAAATCTCTGCGAAGTCTCAGAACTAATTATATATGTGGCAAGCTTGGTGCATTTGATTTATATGCTCCAGCTTGAGGGGGAGTGTTGATATCTGTAAATATATAGTGTTAAGATGGTATTAGAGTCCGGTTTAAGATCCGTTGGGCCACTCCGCTATCAGGCCACCCACCATTTAGTCCCACGCGCCAGACGTTCACCCTGGGCATGAGAGGGGGTGTAAAGAGTCCCACAACGCACAATATATGGCCTGAACATGTGCTTATAAGTGAGGACAATCCTCACCCTACAAGCCAGTTTTGTAGGGTCGAGTTAGTCCCAATCTCACATTCTAAGAGCATTAAGAGCATTTATGCTGCACTCATGATTTTCTTTTTCAAAATAGTGGAGTAATGTGGGTTGTACTAACTGTTATCCTTTCTTTGCACTGTGATTCATCGTAATCTTGCTTGACTCATATGCATACCAGTCACATGTTTGCTTTTTGAAAAACTCATTATTTGCTTGCCAATGGTACTTCTTGTACACTCATCCAGGGAGTTAGTAGTGCTCAAACCATCACACCGGTCGGTGAAGAGGACAGGCTAATAAAAGGGAAAAGCAGAAAGAATGACAACGTAAGGGTGGACAGGAACAAAAGGTATGAAGGCTTGGCTTACATTTTTTCATATCTACTGACTTGCTTCTCGTAAAAAAAGTTCAATGCCAGATAGCCAGATATTACTTTTTTTGTTTATTATATTCTGTTTAGCTTTATCTAAAAGTTGCATGTGTCTTTTTCAGACAAATTGGAAACTCTCGTGGATTCTGGGGCATCTTTGTACCTCCTGTCACCAGAAAGCCTGACCTGGAAGCAGATGCGGACGCATATGTATGCATTATCATCCTTATACTTTGACGCTGTTGACTTAGTTTTTGCATATTTGTGAAAATGCAACTGTCTATTTGGTTCTCTTTTATTTAAATAATGTATAAGCTTAATATGTTTGTTAGAATCCTGTTTTACTACTGTTATGTCATATATGTTCTTTATTAATGGTCTTGTTGTCCAATCATAGTCATTTCTAAATTGACATGAAACTAAACATATGCTTGATTCATTGGCGGCACAACAAATATTATATTTGGCTCAGTATAATTGTGGTAGGAAATAATAGTCATTTGAAAAAGTGACTTGATGCAATGACAAATTTTTTTTGATTAGATAACCAATAGCCACTGAGTAGTGAGTTTTAGTGAGGATAATTGCTGGTTAGTTGCAAATAGATTAATAAATTGCTACAAATTATTTGATGCATAATTGAAAATGACCCAAGAAAACCTATCTCAATATGTTATAAAGCTATTTTTTTATGTTTGCTTTTGCATAGAATATCACACTCACAACAAGGAAACTGGTTTTTAAGTTCTTCACTCATTACTCAGAATGTGGTGGACCGTTAATAACTTCAAAGTCAAATTTGCAAAGTCAGAGTTCTATAGAAGCTTACAATATAATTTATTTTTCTTCAAAATGTATTACCTAATAGTCATAAATGAACTGGAACATAACCGTCCTTCACTTGATTTAGCGGTATAGACAATTAATTATTTATTCTAATTGGTTGGCAGATACATGGTTGAGTTTTGAGTAATATGGACTTTCTATCTTGTTTTTAGGAAAATTATATTGAACAGCCTGCGCCAAATGTAGGGGTTGTGGATCAAGAATCCAATGAAATCCACCGCTTTGAGCTTCTAAGAGATGAGCTGATGGAACTTGAGAAAAGGGTTCAAAGAAGTGCCTATCAATCAGAAAATAATGAGGTATGTCTGAAACATTTGAATTTGATGTCTCCCAAGTTTAACTTATAGTCTTATGGAATAGTTTATATTACTTAAGTTAGATATTGCATTATTATTAACGTACTATGCTTCCCAATCTTAGTGTCAACTTACTTGAAAGGTCTGAATTATTTGAATATTGAAAACTTTTAAGTTACAAAATAGAGGTTCTAATAATAAATTGCAATTAAAGAAAGAGGAAAAAAATTATGTCCTGATAATTACACTATCAATGTGATACTAGCAAAAGAAAAAAAAGGAAATAATGAAATATTTATTCTAAAATAATGCTATTTACAACACTTCAGCTACTGTTAGGTTTTTATTAAATCTGCATGTCATTTTTATTAACTGCTTTTTATCTAGTGTCCATCCTTCTAGTTTATTTTTCTGTGAAGGCTTTCAAGATTAGTGTATACATTGTTTTAACAGGATTTGATGATCATTGACAATGGTGCCCGTTATAGTGGTGATGCTGGAGATGGTCAGATTGCCTTAGTTCCGAAGAAAGAGAATATCATACAAAAATCTTTTGAGAAACTAAAAGAAACAGGAACGGTATGATATAGTCTGATGTTTTTCTTTCTTGGAAATATTATCTGTTTATGAACTTATCTGCTTCATCACATTAGTCAGATGAATCTGACTGATTTTTTTCTTTCTTAGAATTTGGGTTGGGTTTAACTCAACGCTTATAAAATTGGCTTGTAAGGTGAAGACTAGCCCACACTTATAAAAAGTTGTAAACACACTGTCAAGGCATATCTCGTCCAGTTTGGGATTCTTAACATTCTTCATCCCGTGTTTTAGGAAACTGAAAAGAAAAATGATGGTAAAATATGTGCGTGTAGCAGCATCTCTGATACTTTTGACAATGTCCACTGCTCATAATAATATCATAGTAATGGAAATTTAAAGTTAAGTCATAGGTTATTTCTTGTATCCAATAACTGAGATCTAAAGTCTGCTGTTTAATAAACAGGATGTCTGGCAAGGAACTCAACTTCTTGCTATTGATGTTGGTGCTGCCACGGGTTTCGTCAGAAGGACCTTAATAGGTGATGAATTGACTGAGAAGGAGAAGAAAGCACTTAAAAGAACCTTAACGGACATGGCCTCAGTTGTTCCTATCGGTGTTTTAATGCTAATTCCAGTGAGTTGAACACCTTTATGATTGTTCTTATCAACTATATCTGAATAACATGTTTTGTTCTTGATAGAAAAGCATACTGTTCATTCATAATAAAAAGATCCTAATCAAATTATGTTAGGTTTCTAAATCTCGTCTTGCTATTATATGAGTCATACTCAACAATAACATATGTAAGAAAGTAAAACTCTCCTAATATTTTGAATGAATAGTAAATTAAATTAATTATTGATCCTACCTAAGAAAGTTTTGCTTCCTTTATTTTCTTTTCCTTGTAAATTTGTCGAATTCATTTTTACCTTAAAATTTTCTGCTCCTTATAAAAATTATCAAAGTGGAAGAAAAAGAACTTTATGCTTATAGAAAATGTAAAAGAGAAAAAGATTGAAGAAAATGAACTTGTTTGCTATTTCATATTACCATTACCATTTTCCAATGTTAGATGTTGCGTACTAATTAGGACAATGCTTACTTTACACCGGTTACTGCCGTTGGGCATGCAGCCATGTTGGCTGCTATTCAGAGATATGTACCAGCTCTGGTATACACATTATGACTGGCTGCTACTTCTTTTTCCATCTCGTATTCAAATTTTAAATCTAACGTTGTAAGAATATCCACCTTCTTCCTTGCAGATTCCATCCACTTACCCACCAGAGAGGTTGGAACTCTTGAGGCAACTTGATAAGATGAAGCAAATGACAATCAATGACGAGGATTCAGATGAAAAAGTGGATGAAGTTAAATGACTCGGAGCAATGCAGATTTATGTATAGCTAACATATCTTTACATTCTTCCTGATCTGATGAAAATTGGATCAGCTTCGTTCTTTGCTTTCTGGAAAAATAAATTTGATTCCAAATTTCTTAGAGAGGAGTTGAGCATAGATAAGTTCGTTCCACGTGTCAGGCACTCCGGGTAAACACCAGTGGCTACAATCCTGAGGAGCATCAGGTGGAGTGCCTGGTTCCCGATATTTGGAAGGGTGGCCATCGTTCCTCACTTCTGAAAGATATGTGATGTTCAAAAAGTTGACTTTCCAGCTTCCATATTGCATCTCTTTAACAGCATCAGATATAAATAAGTTGTAATACGGTTCAGTTTCGAGTTTTGTTGAGTCGTTTTCTGGTTCCGAGTCCTGGTCGCAGCTTCCTCCTTCATTCCATGTGCCATTCCTGCAATTTCACTGTACAGACTCTTACCCAATGTACTCCGAAGGGATAACTTAAATAGGATGAGTAGATTTGATCCAAAAAAAGATTATGAAGTGAGTTATTATACTTTTAGTTTTAAGGCTTGTTTGGATTGGCCAATTTGAACGTATCTGTTGGCTTAAGTACTTGTCCGACTATTTGGATGAGCTTATAAAAACACTTTTATTTATATTTTTGTTATATATACTCTCATATGATAAATGTATGTTATACATATTTTATTAGTTTGTTTATCTAAACATAACCTAAACTCAAGTTTGAGTTTGATCTTAATAACATTTGGTCTGGTTCCTTTTAGATGTTTTTCTATCAGAGTATGTGACAGTGTCAATACCACATTAATGTGTTAATATATACTTGCCTGTAATGAACCGGCGAATAGCTTCGGAAGAAGACGAAACTCTTCATAGGTTTTAGATTACCCAATGCCCATATTTTCCATGTCTGTAAGGATCCCCTAAAAGCTTCTTTCACTGTCATAGTCATATTTACCTTCCCTCCTTCCTGGAAGTAGATGCCTCTGCAAAAATATAGAGATTGTTTATATGTGTTACTTGTATTTAAAAACTTGAGATTTAATTTATACTCACGCCTTGATAGTTTTGTCTGGGTTCCACCAGTGACCAGAATTGAAAACAAGAACATCTGCTTCTTTCCACTTATTGGAATACCAATGCAACTCATCAAGTCTGATAGTCATTTTGATGTCTTTAGCTGAATTGGGTGGTGGACGACCTAAAATGGACAAGAAGGGTGCTCTGTAATACTCAACTGTCATGTTGTATTCTTCAAATTTCATGATTAAGTAGCCTTTGTGTTTACTTATGGGACTTCCATTCACTTCATATATTTTTGACATGTTAGAGACCCCTCTTGTTAGCATGCATAGTAAAGACTCCCATTGGTTTCTGCCCACAGAATCACCAGCAAATAAAATGCGTCCATTGCGGCTTCTTTCAAGGAGGTCACTGGCATTGAATCTGATACATGGAATGAATCAAGACAAGTTGCTATTAGATATTGATCATTACTTCTAAGAGTATCATACATGTTAAAAGAACAACGTAATGGATCATAGAGATTATTCATTTAGTAAGTCACTATAAATATCTGACAGAAACTAGGGTATTCTATGCATGTATATGCTCAGAATAATCATCGAGTAAGAGAGGACAGACAACAAAACTTTTAATATAGATCAATTCCATAAATTTTGATTAAATTTTGAAACTATTCTATACTCTATTCAATAATTTCAAAAGAGTATTTATATATAATAATGTTTATGAAAATATAAGTAAATTTGCCTTAAAGAAAGTAAATATTAAGTTATTATATTTATATTAAAAAACTATATATTTTGGACTTGTCTAAGACTTGATATGTTTGATGACTAATACAATAATATCACATTAATTAAAGTTAAATTGATGAAATTAACTTATTGATTGATTCATTTATTTTACTTATTAAGGTGAAAAAGAAGACCTAATAATAGTCCATGAGTGTTCTATAAACAAGGCCTCATATTCTCCTCTTTCACTGCCATTATTGACTCTTTCCAATTAAACCTTTCTCCAAGAAAATAAAAAAGAAGATAGAGATCAAGAAACAACAATACATAACTCTATCCTATGCATTCAGCCATGCAACGAAGACGAAAAAATTAACACGAACATGCAAGTCACGTACCGTGGAAGATTACAATCATCAGGTTGCCATCTCCATTTCCGATAACCTTCATCGTTCCGACCGTTTTGTCGGCACCGGAATCCAGGATCAAGAAACGGACATTTTTCATCGTACAATTGATGAGAGTTATAAGCTTCATCCCAAACCCATTGGCCTTTGGAAAAATCACAAACTTCAATTGGTAGCAATGTTTTAGTGTTATTGGGAACAATATATGACGAGAAATTAAACCGGAAAAGTGATTGTTGATCAAAGATAATGAGGTTAGAATAGAATAGAGATGATAGTAAGAAGAAAAGAAAAGAGATTGCATAGGCTAATTCTCTATTCATTGTTAGTGTTTGTTAAAAGTTATGTGAACGAGATACAAATAGGTGTTAATATTGTGATGCAGGTTGTTTTTTTATTCTATTTAAGTAAATAAATAAAATCAATATTGTGTCATTATTTTATTTACAATAGTTTTAAATTTGTATTAAATTAAATATGATTTTTTATTTGTATTTTATTGTAATCTTATAACCAAACAAAACTAAACTAATCTAAGGCACAATGTATAATACTTGAATAGTTAACTCAGGAAATGTAAACTTACATTTTTTAAATAGAAATCTGTTCTTTTATAGTATTTTATATTTGTTATACAATACTTTTATGATATAGAAAGAAATAAAACAATTTATGTTAAAGAGTAATATTTTAGTTGGTTAGTTACAGTTTATTAATAATTTATTGTACGTGGGTTATTGGGAACCCACCACTTCTCTATTAAGGAACTTCATGTGTATATATATATATATATATATATATATATATATATATATATATATATATATATATATATATATATATATATATATATATATATATATATATATATATATATATATATATATATATATATATATATATATATATATATATATATATATATATATATATATATATATAAATCAAGATTCTTTATCTATTTTGTTTTGATGAAGACAAAGTGATATCAAATGATTATGAAAAAGTATGAAAAAAGTTTCAAATTCAATTTATCAAATCAAATTATTCAAGACTTTTATTTTAAAGATTAGCATTGTGGTCTTAATTGATCTTTATAATAGAGGTAGAAGCATGCAAATTATATTGATAAAATAGTGTTTAAAATAATCTCCAAAATTCACTTGTATGCATAATTCATTTGATTGAAAATATCTCACAATTTCTAGTTTTAAAACAAAATATTTTTTATAATTCTTTTGAAATTTTATTTTTCATATTTGAACCATGTTAAATCACTTTTAAATATAATCTATTGACTTGGACAAATCTGTCATAAAGTTGATTCAAAAATATACAATTTTTTTGAACACAGTTTTGGGTAAATTATGGCGTTTTGACCCACCGTAATAGAACAAAAACCGCCACAATTTACAACATTTTGAAACAGGTATTTTAATTTTGAAATTCAAAAAACTGTTATGTATTTGTTAAGTTAGGTACTCGTTAAAACTAACTTAATAAGTTCGGTACGAATTAAAAAAAACAGTAACTTTTTTTAATATCTTTTTATGTCTCTTTTCATTTTAACTTGAAATTTGTTCATGATATTTTTTCATGACTTCACCATGATTCATAAAGGTGTTATGCTCATATAAATACATGAAATTTTAAATTACAATTCACCTGTTCCATTGCAATTAACATCATTATATTCATTTATTTTCAAAATCAAGTGTTTTGATACTTCAACTTTTATTGAGAATTTTTCTCCATGTGTTCTTCATATCATTTCAAAAAAATTCCTCTCTCATTCATAAACACTTGAGCAATATGTTATCTTTATAAATTGTTTGTTTGGAAGATAAGATCAATCATTTTACTTTTATATATATATATATATATATATATATATATATATATATATATATATATATATATATATATATATATATATATATATATATATATATATATATATATATATATATATATATATATATATATATATATATATATATATATATATATATATATATATATATATATATATATATATATATATATATATATATATATATATATATATATATATATATATATATATATATATATATATATATATATATATATATATATTCATCAACTTTTTACTTGATATTTTCCATATTTTGTTGTAAATTCCTTGTTGTCCAAAATTGTTGGAAACAAGAGAGTAGAAAGGAAAGGATTGATGAAAATCACACCGTCTCTCATGTTCTTGGTGCAAAGATTATCATCAATGTTAAATCAATTGCTACCTTATTAGGGATGGAAAAAGCAAGAGGAAAATTTGTTTATGAAGCAAACCCTAAATAAAAATTCTTACACAATGTAATAGAACCAACTATTTTACCGAAGGAAAACAAGGGATTACAAAGGAGAAATCCTCAAGGATAATGGAACTCAACAAGAATCCGCGTGTATGGCTCAAAATCATCTTGGGATGCATACATCACAGACCTTCAACAAGTTAAATTGACATTGAAACAAGGAATGATAGACACACAAAGCCTAAAAAGAATTACATTCCACTGGGAAGATCGATATCATATGTTCTAACTGAAAGTTGGATTATAGATTTTCTGATGGAAACAAAAAGGATGAAGGATATTATTGCAGAAACTAGAAAACCGTTTAATGGCAACAATCTTAAGAGTATGAGAATTGTTGAAAGAGTGATCAAACTAAGAATAACTGTTTATCTACAAGGAATAATATCTCTAAGAACACCACTTGATAATTATCCTTACTACACTAAGCAAGAGTCACCAGAGTTTCTTGTAACCTATAATAAATACTTTAAGAAGAAGGTTTTGGTACTTCTTCTATCTCCTATGATTCTTTTCCAGCAAACCCTCTCCCATTGTGTAAAAGAAAAGTTTTAGCTCTTGAAATAAAGGAAGGAGCTTAAAAGAAAATGCTAAAAGTTCTGAAGGAAGTTACAAAACCCCCAAAAGAAGCCGCATTAACTATTCAATCTAATTCATTCATCCCCATTGAAGAACCCAACATATCCGAAGCATATCAAACCTTCACCTTTTCACAATCAGAAACCTGTACCACCATTGTTCCCACCATGTCATTGTTTGAATTTTCATTTTCATCAGAAGCAAACTTAACCAATCAAGTCAAAAACACTTCAAATCCACTTACAACCTCTCTACCCACATCCTCTCCTCAAATAAATTATGAAGCCACTCCTTCAGAAATTTTCTCCACCACTCAAGTTACCATTCCAGAACCTATCAAATTTTGCACCAACCTCTCTTCTCAAATAATTACATAAGAACCATCAGATCCATCCTCACCAAACATAAGCTCAGATTCTGAGCACCTTCAATCTAAAGAAGGTAACTCTGATGAAGAAACTACCTTTGGCCATCAAAAATATGTTCGATCATCAATGGGTCTTGAGGAAATTATTACAAACTTCAAAGAAAATCCACTCAGAAGATTAGAAAAGATTCGTGAAGTATCCAACATAAGCACTGATTCTCTCCATCTATCAACAACCTGGAATAAGTTTAAAAGATGGATACCAGTTGAATTCATAAGAATTCAAAATCTCTTGAGTGAAACTAAGGAAATATATGTTAAAGAAGATGAAGAGATATTTTTATCTAAAAAAGCTCGAAAAGTTACGGATTGAGAAGCTGCTAAGAAAGCAGAAGAAGACGCAAGAGAAGCTGCAAGGAAGGAACATGAAGAGTTAGAAGAACTTTCTAAAAATAGTTCTGGTGTGTTCACGCGTCTTCTAACAACTCTTGAGGAAATGAAAAAGGAACATCTGGTGATCAAGGAAACACTGCAAAACCAAAAGGATACCAATAACTCTGTAAGATCTCTAGTTATAAGGATTAGCATTAATTTTTGTAAAACAACTATAGCAGCAATATGTTAGATAGAATGTATTAACTTTCTAATAGGAACAAGTTGAGAAATAAGTCCTATCTTATGTTAGGACATGTTGAGTTGAAGAGTTTCAACATTTGGAACAACATATTAGATAAGATGTCTTATGAAGGAGCATACGACATCGCACCTGAGCTGAAGTGGACAGTTAGATTCTGTTATGGTTTAACTGATGAAGAATATTTTGCAAATATTATGCAATATTATATGGTGCTGATTTAAAGATCAAGAAGAATCTAATCAAAATAATGAAGAATATACAATTTTTAAATTTGGAGATAATTTAGGAATATTTGATTGAAGATCTTGTTTGTAGCAGAAGTTACTGCTATTTGTCACAACTGATATGCAGTAGTTTGAAGGCCCAAATCTAGTTGGGTATAGGTTATAAATAGAAGTGTTTGTAACCTAGGAAAGGCACGGGTTCAAGATGTAGAAGTCTAGGGCTTTGTCTTTTTGTCGCTCTCTAGGAGAGTTGGCTCTCTAGGAGAGTTGGTATAAGTGAACCACTCGGGTTGTGAGATGGTCACTGTTGTTCTTACTCATAAGCTGTGAAGTAATGAGTTGAGTATTGTTCTTAGAGGAAGCTTTGAAGCAACTCTAAGTTGTGGTCTTATCAAGAGTCTTGGCTAGAGATTGTCATGGAAGTGTGACTTCATGTTTTTTCAGAATCATATTGATCCAATCACTGTCTGTGATTGAAGAGGGATTGAGGAGGGCCTCATATCTAGGTGAGTCTTAGATAGAAATCTAGGAAGGGTAGTGATTAAGTAAGAAGTTGTAAACGAGGGAGTTTAGCTTCGAATTGATACTATCATAGTGGGTTTGTCCCTGGCTTGCTATGCCCTCGGAGTGGTGTGTTATTTATGCTTTTCAGTATTGTTTTAATGGTTAATACCTTGCCTGTTTGTTTATGCCGGATCAGATGTCCGAACATATCATAGGACATCTGAGTTTTGTCATACCAGAATTTCAATTGGTATCAAAGCAGGCATCCTGTCTGTCTCTGGATGAGATTCGTGGGGGATACTTTCTGGTCATGTGCAAGGTAGAAGATTTCTACTGAAAAGCTGTATAAACTTGGAGAGTTCATATTGTTGTTTGAACTGTCCTTAAGCTTTTAAACCCCATTTGCTGTTAGGTTTGGGACAAGTCAATCATTCCCACGGAATTACCAAATATTGCCTCTTGACACAAATGATGCAAGTACATGTACAATTTCAACAATCATATGCAATTAATAACATCCCTCAATCTTAATCATATAAGCGTATTTCACATAATTCAACATATTTGAATTATCTTCACCAAATTGCACAACATACATATATCATGTCATCAATAACATATAATGCATCTTCATAGAATTAATCATCTCAATGTAACGCCC